TCAGTGACAGAATGACCAACCTTGCTCAAATATATCCAGCAAGATGGCGAATCGGGAGCCATTTCCGGGGTAATAGACTGAAATGTAGAGTTTGCAGGAGGATCATGGCAAACAAATGCTCTTTTTCCATAAACCGACAAGAAGTCGCCCTTTCGCTGCACGCAATGCCAGTTGCTGGCCTCCAAGGTAGTGCACCTGTGATTGGTTCTTCCTTTTAAAAGGAACCCTTTACCCCAAGGACTTCCATTTCCACACATATTGCCAAAAATAATACCAAGTAGGTATGTTTAAGTCCGGTGGAGTCATTATGATGCTTCCAGTAGTTTTAGGGTAGTTGAAAATTTTGGTAGTTCTGAGGGTAAAACTCTATGTCTCTTAGCTCCCGGGCGTGTATCCCTGGGTTTCTTTGCTCTCGGGGCGACTCGGGCGTGTATTCCCTGGGTCTATTGGCTCCTGGGTGTGTATTCCCTGGCTCTCTTCGCTAGTTATTTATTTATTTATTTATTTATTACAGCATCTCATAGCACAGTGAGAACACCGGCCAATACAAAGAGAGAGGGTGTTAACCAACCACGGCAAGGAAGGGAGAAGGGGAGGAGAAGAAAAAAAAAAGAAAAGAACCGGCATGGATTAGTAGTGATTGCAACAAAATGAGAAACACAAAATCAAAGTCAAGGCGCGACAAGGCTCTTAAAAAGGCGGAGGGAAGAACGGTCCTTAGCTTCTTGGGGAAGTGCCAGCCACGCAGAGTACACAGTGAAAAGGGGAGAGTGAAGTAGAAAGGAGGACTTGGGTTTCGGAAGGGAAAGGGAGTTTCTCGTGCTACGGGAAGAAAACCAGTTGAAACAGTGGAGGTGAGGTGGACACAGATTGAGTTTGAGAGAATGGATAAGGGTCAGGTGACAAGATGTGAATTACGTCTCTTAGACAAGGGGGTAGTGTCAGCAAGAGCATAAAAAGGGGAAGATGGGAGCATGCGGGGTTTTCGGAGGAGGATTTTTAGAACTTTTTTGTGCTGAATTTCAAGCTTGGCAGCACGGTTTGTGGAAATTCCAGCCCAAGCAGTATCTGCATAATCAAAAATGGGGCGTAGGTAAGCTGAGTAAAAGAGGAGTTTACAAGAGATTGGGAGATGGTAACAGTGAGAAGAGAGGATTCCTAAAGATGAACTTGATCGTTTACATATGTAATCGATGTGGGGTTCCCATGAAAGATTAGAGTCAATGAAAATGCCAAGATGCTTATGGCTGGAGACTATGTCTATAGGATGGGGGAAAGTGGGATGGAGGAGGGGCGGAACATCAGGCTGAGAAGGAAAGAGCATGATTTTAGTTTTAGACAGATTGGGCGATAACCGCCAAGACGACATCCAGGAAATTACTCTTTGAATCCCGTTAGCTAGGTTACTCATCAGGCCAGTGATGTTAGGAGATGCCCGTAGGAGCGTTGTGTCGTCTGCGAACAGTGATGTGCCCGGGACAGCTGCGGGCAGATCATTGACGTATAAGATAAAAAGAAAGGGGCCGAGAATGGAACCCTGGGGAACTCCGGATAGTACTGTTGTGTCGGCTGAGGACGTCCCATGTACCGTGACGTACTGCGTTCGCCCAGTTAGGTAAGATGTCAGCCATAGCAGGGGATTGCCGTCTACAGTAAATGATCCACGAAGCTTGGCCAAGAGCCCCCGGTGCCAGACGGTATCGAAGGCCTTGGCAAGATCGAAAAAACAGATCCCGACTAGATCTTCAGCATCCCGATGTCGACACACTAATTGCACCAGGCGCGTCAGCTGGAGGGTGGTAGAATCGCCTCTGCGAAATCCGGACTGAGCTGAACTCAAACGTGACGAGACATGTCAGTACAATTGGTCGTAGAAAACGCTCTCACAGAGTTTGGAAACACAGGACAGTAGAGATATCGGACGGTAGTTTGATGCTTCGTGGCGGGACCCTTTCTTGTAGATCGGTATAACATTAGCTGTTTTCCATGCAGAGGGAAAACGACCAGTGCGGAATGATAGGTTGAAAATCAGACATAAGGGGTATGCTATTGAGGGCGCAAGGGACTTTAATACCAGATTAGTGATGCCGTCTGGGCCTGGCGCCTTGTCAGACGGGAGCTTTCGAATGTAACGTCGGATGGCAGCAGTCGTAGTAAAGACAGATGTGAGGCGGTCAGCCTCACCCGACTCCTCGGCAATAGGTAGAGAAGGGTCATCAGGCACGGCCACTGAGGCGAACTGAGAGTTCAATGCAGTGGCTTTAGCTGAAGAGGTAGTAGCCTGCTGCGTAGAACTAATGGTGAGTGTCGGGATGGCACGAGATACTTTATGATTTTTTAATTTGTTCACGAACTGAAACTGTGATGGGCGGTTTTTGTCCTGCAGCGTAGCTTGTACGGACCGAATGTATCCCCGGTATTTCGATCGAGTCAGACTCTTCACCAAGTTCCGTTGAGATCGATATACATGCATGTTAAGCTGGGTTGGGTATTTCTTACACACACTGTAGAAATCGTGCTTCGCCTTAACGGCGGCACGGAGGGGGGCATCAACTCAAGGTGGCTGACCTAAACGTCGGCATGAGGGGGAGAGTGCTTCTCCATGGCCCTGCTAAGAATAGAGTGGAAAGACGAAAGAGCGTCATCCACGTGCGAGCTGCGGAGGTGACATTTCCAGTGGACATCAGCAAGTTCAGCATTCAGGTCATCCCAAACGCAACGCGGCACCAACTTGAAATTATAACCTGGGGGTGTAGGGGTAGATGTTGGGAGGAGGTGATGTTGTAGGGTTGGATTTTTGGACGTGACAGGGAGACGGACTCGACAGATGAGCTGCACGTGGTCAGAGCTACCCAGTGGAGCGGCTGAATCAACGGAGAGGAACTGCTGGGGTGAATTTGTGACGATGAGGTCCAAGCAAGATGACCGGCCATTTGGGCTTCAGTGCGTAGGGAAGGTGACCAATTGCTCTAATCCGGAGCACCTGAAGGCGGTTTCAAGGCACTGACCCACCGGGGTTGTCTGATCACCAGCCAACCAGCTCGAGTTATGGGTATTGAAGTCACGGGTGAGGAGTAGTGTGGATACAGATAGATTAAGTGACAGACGGCAGTCTTCCAGACCATCAGAATATGCCTGGATATCCGCCAGGGTACCACCAGGAGGTCGGTAGGTGGCGCAGACTATGAGTGGACGTTGGGGTGAGTTGGCTGTGCGAAGCTCAAACCAGATGGCCTCCAAGCCCGGTTGCTGAGGATTCGCCAGAGGCTTCACCGATGTAAAGGAGCCATCTTTCACCAGTATGGCTACCCCACCATAACCTCTAGTAGGATTGGCCGATCGAATATTAGAGGTGGGACGATCCCGTCGATGAACTGTGTAGCTTGCCAATGAGAAGAGATTGGCAGGGCACAACCATGTTTCACACAAACATAACCTCCGGAGAGTAGATGTTGCACATAACAGTGAGTTCCGCTACTTTGTTGACCACTGAGCGGCAGTTGAGGGAAAGGATGGTAAGGGCAGTATGGATGGGTGGATAAAAGGGACGGGCCAGTGGATTCAGTGTTCCAGTAGTGTTGGGGAAGACAAGGTTACTATTCATTGTGAGAGATATTGTCCGGTGGGCTGGTCAGAATAGAAACGCCATTCCCTCACGGTATGACCCATTGTGTTTGGCCAGAAGGTGTGCCGGCATACAGTATCAGCATCCTTACCCTCGACAGTCACTCTGGCGGAGGCAGTTCGAAAATACTCGGAGGAGTATATTAAGCACTGCACTATTTCAACACCGCGTTCCCTGCACCAGTCTGCTATACTCGCTGCCTCACAACCAAACGGAATATCTCCCAAGTAGAAGACCTTTCGCGGACTGCGGGGTGCAGCATCCAGAGACGGAACAGAACCAGGGACATTCTGGTTCGGTTTGGCGTAACGTGATGATACCTGGCGACGGATGGGATTCCTTTGTGGTGCTTCTTCCTTTGCCTGTTTGTTTGCAGGGAGTCCAACCTCTTCTATTTCAGTAGGGTGAGGTTGGGTCCGTGTCATCCTCCTGGCTTGACGGCGCTGATTCCTTGACATGACAGGCTGAAAGGATACGTCGTCCTTATCGGCAGTACTGGCACTACTAGAAGTTTCAGCCATGAGCCCATTTGCTAGAACTTGGGCATATGGTCTAGGAACGTCTGGTGTCTTGGCTAGCTGTCCATTCTCTTTTACTGTTGATGCTTTGTCGCTTTGGAGGGATGACGTATGTGAGCATTGAGCTGCTCCAGCCAGATCCATGGTCTTCTGAGTTCTGCAAGGCTGGACTGACACACCACAGCCAACAACGCTCTCCAACTGGTTTACCTTTTTTCCCGTGTGGATAGTAAATCATTTCGCAAGCTCGTTAGCTCTGCATCTCTGGTTGCTCAAACTGCAGCAAGTTCACGTGTTAGACTGGCGATGCAATCCTGAAGTTTCTCAAGGCAAGGTACCATTGATGGCAGGCACTTCTCACCACAGGCAGGGAATTGGCTGGGCGCCGAACCTGGGGGATAAGTGCCAATACCATTTTCGCGCAGAGTAGCAACCAAGTCTGGGCGTGCTAGGTCACACGAATTAGGTATGTCCTTCTGCTCAGCTAGTTTCTGAAGCTGCGAAAACTCCAGTTATGCAATCCATTTCTCACCCTCTACGAGGCGGCTTCAGTAAATGTCCATCTACATCTACTTCGATGTACAAAAAAATAGCTTACCTATGCTTGCATGTGTGTACATATTGCAAATAAAGGCTAGGCGTACATTGTTTTTAGACCTGTATCATTCTGACATAGGAGGGTGACTTATTAAAAGTCACAAGACTTTTTGGAATAGGTACTCAAAATTGTAGGGTGCTCGTCTCGCTAACCCATCCCCCGCGCTCCCAGTATTGAGAATGTAACCAAGCTTACGAGCGCCAGTGAAGCATAATCTCATCCAGTCTTCACTGGCCGCCAGGCACAATAACCAAATTGATTTAGATTTAGAATCTTTTCCACTTTGGGCTCAAAGGAAATGATCATGAAAGCAGCGTAGGGGTTTGTAAAGCTTTTCAACAGCATGTAAATCAAGACAAACAATCATTATGTACATCAAAGCACACAATGTTGACTGACTTGAACAAGAAGGATAAATACTACTTCAACGGCTAAGAAATCAGAGAGCACCAAGAATGTACACAGCCATTGGATGCCTGGCTATGCAGCAAGAAAGCGATGAAGTATTCCATAAATCAAAAATTATATACAGCTTTGAATTTGACAAATAAGGACTGCACAAGACCTGCCATCGTGTATCTCCATGGCAATACTTCTAACGTAACAAAATTTGTGTTTTGTACTACAGCAGCTATTGCACCGTTTTAGTTTGTGTTGCAGAAAGTTAGTTACTACCGACTGTACATATGGACAACACAGACAACATTACAAGTACCTTCGTAACTGACACGTAGTGGCGCAGTGCCAGAGACTTGATGCCCAGATTCCAAAATAGTTCAGCAGAACTACTTCTAGTACTTTTCTTTTCTTATAATTATGTAGTGATGTACTGCTGCGACGCTAGTACGGAGCAGAGTACCAAGAGGGACCTTGCATGGTTGGTGGTGCACCATGCGTTCCTGGAGCTTGCATCTGCATGGCCTGCTGCGGTTGCTGCATTATGGTAGAGGGTGGAGCGCTGCTAGCGGCAGCCATAGCTGATGCCTGGAACTGCATTAGCTGCTGTGCTGGCATTTGCATTTGCGGGATCGCTCCTGCCATAGAGACGCCAGTCTGTCCTTGGGCTACAGCAGCTTGTGCTGCTTGCAGTTGCGCCTGGCTGAACTGGTCCCCATAGAACATAGGATTTAGTCCATATGGTGCAACTGGCCGGGGCACCAGCGGTTGTCCATGATATGGGTTGGCAAGAGCAGCTGGTCCACCCATTCCTGTTGTAGGGGCAATGTGCTGACCATTGGCTGCAGCCTCCGTGAAGCTTCGCTTCCACTTGTATCGTCGATTCTGGAACCAGATCTTGATCTGGGTCTCGGTCAGTCTCAGTCTGGCGGACAATTCCTGTCGCTCAGGTGCGGATACATATTGCTGGGCTTTGAAGCGTCGTTCCAACTCGATGACTTGTTGGCGTGTGAACAGAGCTCTTGGTTTCCGCTTTTTCATGTTACCCGCATCGCCATTGGGTCCATCCTCTGTGGGAGTGGATGCAGCGGAATGGCTCTGTCCACCCTCCACCTTGACATCAGTTCCGGGTGTGACTGTCGTTGCCAGGGGCGTTTCTGTGGCATTGACAGGAGGGAAAGCTGCTGTACACAGAGAATTAAGAGGGAAAAACAGCAAATCGAAAAATCGGATAAGCGTTTCTGCTACAGAAAAACCTGTTAAATTCAATCTCATGATTTTATCACCTTCAGCTTGGCATTATCTCATGTTTGAACATATAGTTCGTTACCACAACAACAGCAACATCACCACCAATAACACCGACAGAGTGAACCATGCATCGGTGCAGCTGGTAGTGCTCGCCTACAGAAGGCAAAGTACTAGTAGTTTGCATCTAGAAACTCGGATGTTGAGCCATAAATAAATGTAGAAAGGAAAAGGATATATGGATACGAGTTAAGAGTAACTCTCCATCACTGTAACTGGATACTATATACAGTCAGAAAGTGCAATAACTAGGCACAAAACTGACAAGGGTACTGAGACATTCGACGTCCTGACACTTAGCTTCAACACATCCCCGTAGCGCTAACCGACAGCCTTCCAACATGGAAGGTTCAAGGTTATGAAAAGACCAAAGAGGGGAAGGAAAGCGCAACGAAAACGAGCAAAAGCCACAGTCCCAACGGAACAAAGAATGTCGATTGTTACTGGACGATGACGAGACCAGTACGATATTTGACAAAGCGGTCTAGGCTGTCGGTTAGCGCTACGGGGATGTGTTGAAGCTAGGTGTCAGGACGTCGAATGTCTCAGTACTCTTGTCAGTTTTGTGCCTAGTTATTGCACTTTCTGACTGTACATAGTATCCAGTTACAGTGATGGAGAGTTACTCTTAACTCGTATCCATATGTCCTTTTCCTTTCTAAGTTTGCATCTAAACAAACATTTAGAGAGGAAACACGGAAACAGATGTCAAAGCGATGCCTCACCAGCTAGATGAAACCCATTCCTGGCGGCGTCGGCACTAACGGGCGTCTCAGCATCGCCATTAGACGGGGAGAGCAGTTCCGGTGCGGAACCAAGCGGGTATGGCGGCGGAAGGAAGGTGCCCTTGTTGTCCGTAATCGGCGTTAGGCTAGTAATGCCTTGGGAAGGTGGAGCAATGTTGATGACGGGCGGCATTGACATGGTAGACGGGGGCTGGGCTATCCGGCTAGCGTTATTGCCAGTTAGGATACTGGACATGTGGAACGAAGTGCTGTTCTCCATATTGGACGGATCAAAGAATGCCATGGCTGAAAAGTGAAGTCAAGACGCACTTGATCAAATTCAGCTTCAGGACTTAGGGCCTGTTGGAAGGAACTGAGTGGTTCGAAAAGGACTTCTACATTTTATATGTTAGACCTGCAACTCTGATCTGGTCGTAGAAGGGGCTATCGGCGTAAGCGAATTGACATCAGCGTGGCAAAAGGCTGCCTAGAAAGGAGGCAGGCTGCCCTCAAACACATCTAGCACGTGCTTACCTATACCGTGCCCGCTAGGCTGGCTTTATCGCGCCGCTGCCTTATAGCCTACCAATGATCGCGCGCTCGGGCTGCCACGTCCACGGGGTAGGTTATTGCCCGGTGTTTGTGCCACGCGGCGTACGTAGAGTGAATTGCGAATACGTGTAGCTAAGTAAGTAGGGGATAGACAGAGGACAACACTTACATGTAGGGCCACATACTGCGAGGTAGCAAAAGTTCAACGGGGTCAACGCACCGTCCGACCTAGCTAGGACCGTCACTGATTGTAGTGGACTGGACATGTTCTCATTGGTCCGCCATCACACGGCAAGATCAGCTTCGAAGGCACGTCCTTCAAGACAGGAATCAGGTACGTCAATATCGTACTGTCTAAACCCGTACCGTTGTGTGTGACCGTTGGGAAGAGAAAGTTGCGGGTGTGGCACAGGGGGCAGACCCAGACGTGCTGGCGCTGTGGCACAACGGGTCATGAAGCACGAGAGTGTAAAGTAAGGGCGGGCAGAGAGCCTGAAAGTTCAAGTCGTACTAACACTAACAGTAAGGACGTTTAGCAACGCGAAAGTTCGAAAGAAAATTCGAGTCTGGGAATGAGTACAGAAACAAAGGTCGAAACTTCGAAAACTTGGACGCGAAGTTGCAGTGATTTGCGAAAGTAACTTTCTCTTTTCTCAGTACGCATTTCACTACAGGGAGTAGTAATTTTACAGCCCCCTGCTTGAGACTGAGCTGCATATACGGTACGGTACTTTTGAATTTCAAATAGCTTCGAGAAAAAGTCGTTTCGCATTGCTAAACCTCACAAGTTTTCTTTTTCGAAATAGATTTTCGCGAAATATCGCCACCACCAAAAGTTGGAATTTTCGCATTGCTAAACGTCCCTAGTAACTCTAGTTCTGAACCTTCAGATTCTGTACCTCAGTTGACCTGCGAACGTGGGAGTACCCGTACGAATTGCGTAGGTTCGAACTCTGAAGTGAACTCCAACACATCCCAGCACGGTGACAGTGTATCTAGCATACCCACTACCAAGAGTACATGAAAACCAGAGTGTGCAGCTTGGGGCCTTTTCTGCTATGGGTGTCTGCAAGAGTACATAACCCCCCAGAGTGTGCAACTCCACTATGGGTGCTGTCCCGACAGAATTTCAAGTTTACGTCATTTTGATGATGCAATGCGCACTGTACACGGATTATCAGACGAACCCGGAACCTGTGGTTGACCGAAGCCGATCGATCCTGTACAAATTATTGCAAAGAAAAACGTGTGCCTGATGCGTTGACACCCGTACAGATGTTGTAAATCACTGGTGCAAGGAGCATTGCGTCATAAATAATGACGTCAACTTGAAATTCTGTCGGGACAACAGGGTATGTGGGAGTTGCACACTCTGGGGGGTTATGTACTCTTGGTGTCTGTCACGGCGAAATTCCGTGATTACATCATATTTGGCCCAGATCTGAGGCGGGAAATGGCGTAGTGCGTACAACTGAGCTGCAGTTGTGCAGAAAGAGACCTGTTTGAATCCTGCTTGTACCATAATTGTACGCACTACATCACTAAAATGATGTAATCACGGAATTTCGCCGTGACAGCAACCCATCCGAGCTGCACACTCTGGTTTTCATGTACTCTTGCCACTACACGCACAAAAGCACAGCAACCTACATCTACGCTGAGTATGGCCAGTGCTACTGCGGTCCAAGCACGGAGGACGTCATCCAGGTACCTGAGGCGCTAGGCAGTGACAGTACGAGCTTCAGAACACCATGACACAGCCGTACCAGTCCCACCTGCCGCGGGACACGTAACTGAACCCGGAGGTAAAGGAGACAACACAACTCCCCGGAAACCTTTTGTGGCTGCATCTTCTAACGACCACGTGCAACACAACAATAGCCTTGCGTCCAATACAAATGCAGTACATGTAACCGGTACTGAAGCAGCTGTAACTTCCACTCCAGCTCCTGGATCTTCTGTCCCTACCCCGGTGCAAGATTGGCACGTCGCAGGGGTGGAAAGTGTTCTACTTTTTCTCCAATAGTCTTGCAACAAACCGCCTCCGCTTTTCCCTCTGTCGCCAACCGCTTTAGTGCGCTGGAGCACTCCATGGAGAGGAAGCGTCAGCGAGGAGCCAGGAGTGACGCATCATCCAGTGCCGACTTGTCCGCGAAGGCTGTCTGCCCGACCACCAAGACAGACGACTTCTATAGTACCGGGTCGGACTGGGAGGAAGAGTGTGAGGGTGACGACGGCCGCGGTAGGAGCCGTCATGAAGTGGTGCAGTGAACTGCACCTTGAAATAGTATGCTTGAACTGCCTGTGTATTTTTTGTTTTAGGTTTTGGATTAATTTCTAGATGTAGTTCTTCCTTATAGATCTATTAAATGAATCCACAATTACATAGAGCTACTGTCGGTCGACAGAAGTCTTGTAAACTTGCTTTTCTGAATGTATGCAGCCTTAGAAAGAAGTTAGGAGAAATCCAAAACTTCATAAACTACCACAATGTAGATATCTTCGGCATTGCTGAAACTTGGCTTGATTGTTCGATTTCTGACTCATCCATTCATATACCTCATTATAGACTCTTTAGGCGCGATCGCGGGCACAGACCTGGTGGCGGTATAGCTGTATACAGTCGAGATACCCTGGCTGTTTCTAGACACGCTTAACTCGAGAGTGACACAATCGAAAATCTGATACTCACCTTGAAGACAGAATCCGGTGAACCCATCACCCTCGCTACGTTCTACCTTCCGCCTTCCACTACTGCTGTAGTATGGCAAGACCTAGAAATCAGTCTGAACAATCTAACCTTGCGACGAAACAACCGCGTGGTCGCCATTGGTGACTTCAATGTGGACATGTGCTCGGGACACAGCCGGATGCACACCATGCTCCAGCGGTTTGATCTGGAAAACCACATCCGGACACCGACAAGAGTAACGGCATCAACTTCCACCCTAATAGATCTGCTCCTCGCCCCTAACTCTCTAGTTGGAACATGCACGGTCATCAAGTTTGACATCAGCGACCACTACGCATTTGTGGCCAACATTATCGTCGCCACCCGGCAGTCCGAACGAGTCGTATCTCGAAAGAGGCGAGTGTGGAGGATAAACTGGGAGCACTTTAACGCTGACTTGCAGGACTGCAATCTTGAGATTTTCAGCAAGTCGAATGATGTTGATGCAATGATAAGCGAATGGTACGCAAAGGTTTTTACTGCTCTAGATCGTCACGCCCCTTACAACCTCCTTGTAAGCCGAGGCGCCGACCTTGCCCATAGTTGTGTCCTGAACTTGTATCTGCTGTGCGTCAACGAAACAAGGCCCACCGACTTCTTTCACGCTCTCCAAACGATGTCCGCCTGCGAGAGCAACACCGCACTCTCCGCGCAGCCGCGCGCAAGCAAGATCGGAGGCTAAGGCAGGGGCGTCACACACGGTACGACCACTACGACCATGGTCGTACCACTTTTCGTCCAGGATGGTCCACCCAATTCATCCGAAAAAGCAATACAAAAATTCAAGGATCTTCGGACTTGTACAAAACATCGCAACTGTTACCTGGTTACTTTCATTGCAAGGAGCATACAGACTTGATGCCTAGCACTAGCAGCTAGCTATTGCCCAAGACTCCAGGCGGCTATCCATTACGATAGGCGGTTGGAGTCACGGTTAGAGACAACCAGACGATGGATTCCTCACGGACGCATTCACTGCAAACTTGACGGAAACAGAGCTGAGCTGGCGGCAATCACTGGGTCCAGAACTAAAAATTTCCAAGATCTACCATGTTACAATGGCGATCAGCACGTCAAGAGACACTACATGTATGTCACTTGTCAGCTACAACATAATAATTATATTCTTTCCACAACGACACCTACCTAGTACCTCTGGCTCCTGACGATCTACTGCAAGCGGATTCGAAAATGCATTACACCCGCGAACGCAGCGCTTGTCAACGGAAAAGGGAAGCGCTTCATTCTCCGAAGCTGAAAAGTGTTTGGACTGCTGCTCCACGGCGGCAGAATATTCTGCAGCTGTTCACCGACACGACCCGCTTCACCTATATTATAACGATTTACGATCGTTTCGTTCCCCGAGTTTTCCGGTAGCAGCAACAAGAATTTCGTCCGCGACGACAGGATGAAAGTCTCTCGCAAACTAAAGTCCTGTTGCCACGAAGACAGAGAAGATTCCGCAAGCGCTTTCTTCTGCTTCCATTGTTGTAGCTCTCCGGTCCACTGGCAGATCTTTCAATCCCACCGAACAAAAACAAAGGATCTTCTTCTCTCTCTAAAAACAACTAAAATTGTTTGCGACTGTCCAGGCCGGGCGTGTACATAGTGTACGCGACGCGGCAGACTTTTGCAGGACACGACATACATGTACGTTTTTGCATAGCTAGCCGCTGGCGCTAGAACGCTCAGCACGCTGGTACTTCGGATTTTGCGATTTTTTCGAGGGCAATGGCCCTGAATCATTGAATCAATGGGTTCCATTTCAGCATTTGCCTTGCTTGGCTACCTACGATGTACAGAAAATACCAAAAATCCATGAGAAGTATGTTTTTGGAGCTGGAGTGGGGTTGTCGAATAAGTGCTAGGGGAACCCTCCTTTGCGGCTGTAGAGTGCTAAAACGTGGTCTGTTAGCCGAAAAATCCTTATTTTTCTCTCCCCGGTCGTACCACTCCCAGCCACCCTGTGACGCCCCTGTAAGGGATCAGTATTTTCAAGCTCGCCTATAGTCGGCCGGAAAGGATGGACGGAAGCTCTGGAATACGATAAACGTGGTGACTGGACGAGCGAA